TATAACTATGCTTAGTCATCTAAGTTAGTTGGATGCATAAATGAAATGGCTTCTCTTGATGTTAAGCTTGGAATCAAGCCACCTTTATGCACGATTGGATCCGGCCTTTTGCTTAGAGAAGCATCCAGGTGAACTCCCCAGCGTGTTGCTGTATTTGGGCATGAGTTACTGCTTGTCAAACATAGTATTCCCCAGTAAGTACACTTTGAGATGGTAATTTCATGCAGGAGATTTATTAGAGAGTGCTTAAGGGGTCAATGCCTATGGAAAAAGCGGGAAGAACATAGAGGCAGAAATTCAGCTGCAATGCAGTCGCAATGGAAGGCTCTGCCGAGCTCATTGAGAGTTCTGGAGATGGAATGAGCCTTGCCATCTGTTCTGAGTTGGCATGAACTGGCCAGGCTTCTGTAATCCCACGTTCATCAGTCACTGAATGAGGCTGCCTATGAAGAGGGTGTAACTGTGGGTTAGGCAGCTCTTTTCAGCTGAGATCGTCCTCAAAGAGGACTAACGGCTAAGGGGCTGTCTGCCAGCAGTAGTCCCAGGATCTGGGGCAATAAACCCTTTATTCCTGCCTCAGGGAAGAAGCGAATCTGGCAGGTTCAACAACATGGTTCTCTCAGTTTTCTGTCCCAGCCTTTGGAAAGGTCAAGTGAGATTGGGGGATTATGGAAACAGAGCAATGAAGGGTACAAGATATATCCCAAGACAGAATGTGGCTTGCAGGTCTCTGGCTTAAGATGTTTAAGATGCTCCAATGATATTTTTGTGGTTGCTTAAGAGATAAAGTTATTCCCCTAATGCCTAGGGATTTTTTCCCCACAAACATATTAATATGATCAAGAACATTTTAAATGTGAAGCGGAAGGGGAATAAGAAAAAATACCAAGTAAATGATCATGATTTAGGAAAAAGAACATTTGTGTAAGAGGTTGTCTGTGATTATAGAAAGAAAAAAATAGCTAATAAATATGTTGAGAACAAGACTTGCCTCTAGGGATTTGCTTGGGTATGTGTGTGTATAAATACATACAGGAGGTAAACATAGCTTGTAGCATCATCAAAAATAATAGGAACATAACAACAGAAGGCTCTATCATTCTTTTTGGAACAGAGCTGGTAGAAGTGGAGGTGTGTTAGTACTATATGTCAAGAAGTTGCTAGAAAGTCTTAAATAAAATGGCTAGAAAGTTGCTGGCAAATCTTCATAAAGATCTATCCCTGTTTTTATCTGCATAAAGATAAAAGAAAGAAAAATTGCTGGGAAAAAAGTAAGATATTTTTCCCCCAAGACATTTAGGGGAAAAAAGATGATTCAAGAGTAATGGAAAAGTTTCAGACATAATTTGTGACTGTACAGCATCAGTGATGCCAATTTGCAGATGTATTTGCTAAATTGCTGCCAGTAATCACAGAGGGATTACAGAAAATTGGAAAGATTGTAGTGTCAGCCAGGGTCCATGGCAGGAGACAGAAGCATTTTAAACAGGCAGAGATTTCATACGGTAAATGGGTGCCTGCAGAATCACTGGAAGGGCTGGAGGAGTGGGCTCTAGTCAGAGTCTTCTGGAATGACTCCCAGACTCTAGAGAGCTGAATCACCTGGGAGCTCCCACTCCGGAAAGTATCCTTAAACCACCAGATTTCCAGAACATACATTCAACGCTGTGATTAGGGAATCATCGCCCTGGAACTGTGCGTTTGTTGCTTCTGCCATTGCTAGACCATCATGCTGCCAACTGGGGACTGGAACCTGGCATCCACTGCTGCCCCTGCTGGCACTTCTCTTCTCACCCAGGAATCTGGAGAATGACATGAATCATTGCTTCAGGAGAAAACCTTGTGTCTCCATGAGACCTTGCTTTTCAAACAAGAAATGCCAGAAGATGACGACCATCCTGACTTCTGCCTTGCAAATCTCTCATAGGTACACCCGCAGGCCCTTATTGGAATCCAGAGTGCTAAGCTGTAAAAGCTCTGGGAGTTGTACTCTTAACTCTGAAGTCTCTCTAATATGGGATGGAATGACATAATGTAGTTAAATGGAAGTTCAGTGAGCCAAACCACAGTATTCCACACAATTGCAGACAGGCAAACGTTCTTATTTTCCTTACAGGGAAGAAAGGGGTCATAAGAGACACCTTTGAACTTCCCATTATTCCTTGTATTGGTTAGAAAAAATACCCTGTGAGCCATTAAGATGATATGCAGTGATCACTGGGAATAGGGGGTTCATTAAAAACAAATCATATCAGATGGCTTATTAAAGTGGGAAGTCAGAGAACTGTATGGCTATAACTGTATCTAGATTTTTTAACAAAGCTTTTGTCTTTTTTCATGATCTTCTATGATATCTTGAGACAAACTTGAAAAATGTGGTCAAGATGGTGGTACAGTTGAAGGGATTTATAATTAGTAGAAAGACTAAAATCTATTGATTAGTACATAGATGTCCAATTGTTGCATATGCTGTAAGAATTTATTCTGCCCTACATTACATAATGAATCTGGAAAGAACATTGAATTTAAAAATAGCAATAGCCACCATGTAGTGAGTGCTCACTCTAGGTGAGGCACTATAGATACAGTATTAACTCTTTTACTCCTTATAGCAATCTTGTCAGGTTGTTAGTATTTCCCTTTTAAATATGAGGAAACAGATGCCAGAAAGTGTAAATAACTTGCCCATAGCTACATATCTAGTAAGCAGCAGAGCTGAGATTCATACCTAAAATTGCTTTAGGGAGGAGGTACTAGAGGGAGGGAAAATGTCACAACATTTCTAGGAGAAACTGACTAGTCATTTGCCTACCAAGACCCCCCAGAGGGTGACATTTTTTCAGTTATTCCACGGGAGTTAGGGGGCTGTCCCATTACCTTGCATGATCTGGTCAGTATCTCAGGGACTCAAACTCACATGGACAAGCATTATTAACATCACACATATAAAATCAGATGCTGATTTATTAAATCATGAGAAATGTTACAGTTAGGCTGACCAAATGTGAGCAATATTCCTATATATATGTTCTGAAAGAGAGCCTGATTAGTAGAATGTTGCCTGTGGAGGACAGATTCAGCCCAAGGAGACTCTGATCTGATTGCTAACTGGCTACAGTCTCTGACAATCACAATATGGATGTACTCATCTGTTGGGCTACCTGGGTATCTGGACCTTCTTGGGAGTTATTAGGCTATTAAGTATGAAATGTCCGACTTCCTTAAGTACTAAGACAGCTAATATCGCTGACTTTTGCTTTGAATACTTCATGTTTTATTTTTATTGTGAAGGTACATGTTTTATTTTTATTAAGAGCACAGTTTGGCTTGTGATTATCTGTCAAATTTTGTAGAGCAATTTTTGTGAAACCATGGATAAATAAAAAATTCATGTTATTTTCAAATATGAGTTCCATTGTGGAACCAATGCAGTGCAGACAGCTCGAAATATCAGCGAAGTGTTTGGGAAGGATGTGGCTAATGAACACACAGTACATTGATGTTTTGAGAAGTTCTGTTCTGGTGATTTTAATCTTGAAAATGAGCCACGTGGGTGACCTGAGACCAAGGTGGATAATGATGAGCTGAAAGCTGTAGTAGAAGCAAACTCATCTCAACCTACGCATGAATTAGCAGCAAGGTTTGATGTTACTATCCCAACAATATTGGACCATTTGAAGCAAATGGGCAAGGTAAAGAATCTGGATAGATGGGTACTGCATGAATTAAATGAGTGCCAGAGGAGAAACCATCTTGAAGCTTGCCTCTCTTTGCTGTCATGACATAAAGGTGAATCATCTCTACACCGTATTGTTATGTGTGATGAAAAATGGATTCTTTTTGACAATCACAAGCGTTTGTCACAATGATTAGATAAAGACGAAGTACTGAAACACAGTCCAAAACTGAATATTCATCAAAAAAAGCAAATGGGGTCTGTTTGATGGTCCTGCACTGGTATTATCCACTACAGCTTCATGAGACCTGGTCAGTCGATTACAGCAGATGTCTACCGCAACCAACTGGATGGAATGATGAGGATGCTTGTGATTAAGCAGCAGAGACTGGTCAATAGAGACAGGTCCATCCTCTTGCAGGACAACACTTGACTACGTGTTGCACAAACAACACTGCTCAAACTATAGAAGCTGGATTTGGAAACTCAAAATCACAGAGATGGGGAACAAACATTTTGTGAGTGCATCATTAGGTGTAATGGCAAGAGGCGCTTCTCTCACTTTCTCCTGTGACCTCCAGACCCATGTATTCTGAGTACAAGAGAATTAGTACCATATGTTTAGATTGTTTTTTTCAAAGCATGGTAAATTATCATTCTCAAACAATTTGGAAAGCTTCAAATGTTAGAAGCATTTATTTTTGTCTTTGTATTTAAATGGGGTTATTTATGTTTCTGAAATTCCCTCTGATTGCATTTTGTATTTTGAGCTTTGTTATTGTTAATGAGTGCACTTTGATCATCAACCACCTGTGCTTTCATAGCAATTAGCATCACATCTTAAAAACTGGTTCTTGTGAATGGGAAAAGAACAAATGTCCATTTAAAATAACCAAAAAACAATGGAATTTTGTAGCTAGAGAAAACCTAAATATCATATATTAATAGATTTGAAACTCAGACCCAAAGGGATTAAATGACTTGCCACAGTCACATGGCCAGTGGGAAATTTGAGCTCTTTTCTTTCTTCTGTTTTGCTCCCACTCGCTGATGCAATTATATGCCATATTTTTGGCGAGATCTCCTGTTCTTCCTCTTCCTCCTTCTACCCCTTCTCCTCTTTCTTCTCCTAGTAAGTGGAATTTTTTTTTTTTGCAAGTCATTCATATCTTTACTTACGGTCTGATTGGCATGTGACCTGAGGAGACAGAATACAAATAGGATTCCAAAATAGTATTTTCTTTACCCATATCCTTAGTTAGGTAGGCAGCAGTTCTCAGGAATCCTTTGTTCTTAATTCTGGGCTGCTCTTGGATCTCTGCAGTGCTGCGTATGATGCTGTCCTTGATAGAAATGTGGCCATTAAGAAGCTCAGCAGACCCTTTCAGAACCAAACACACGCCAAGAGAGCATACCGGGAGCTGGTCCTCATGAAGTGCGTGAACCATAAAAACGTGAGTTTTGCTATTTTTTAAACCTTGGCAGTGGGAGGTTGTGAGATTGGAGAAAGAAAATATGTGTCCCAATTGAGTAGGAAAGGCTTTCTTTGCTTTGCAATTTCTGCCTCTTAAGATTGTTTATCCTGCCTATATGCTAAATTTGATTTCGTTGTCCTCATGGTAGCTTTCTGCTTAATGTGGAAGGGATGAGGCATATGATGTGGAAGGGATGAACTTTATAGATATTTCCCTGTTAGGAAACCAAATTAATCAGAGAGCTTGTTTTTTTTTAAAAAAAGAAACAAAACAAACAAAACCAAAAAACAAACCAACCCCCCTCCCGAACAATATGCTACATTTCTTTATAATTTAAATTTAATTACTAACAGATGAAGGTCTTTATTCATCATGTTATCTCCTTTTTGTTTTAGCTATAGTCTGGTGCTGGCCTCCCACTGCTCTGTGTACACGTTGTGTATTGGCATCTTGTTGTTTATAGGGCTGGGCAAAGATGCAATTACATGCTCGCAAAGCACTTCAGAACAGGATCATCAAGAGTTTTTTCTACTTGGAACTCAGCTGGGTAGACCATTATAGGACTTTCTCCACTTCAGAGTCTAGGCTCTTTCAGTCATAGGCAAAGGCCTCTAGAATTCTTTTTTATTTTTTTCAAAATAAACTTAATTTATTTATTCAACACTTAAAAACAATAAAAACTCCCTTAATATTAGACATTCCCCAATTCTTCAAAATTGAAAGCTGCAATGGCGTTTAAGACTATATGGAATCAATTTTTGCAGATTATATTGTCTCTAAAATTCTATATTAATGTATTCATATTTCTTTCATATCTAACCTGATGGGCATCCAAATATTTTAACAATATCCTCCCCAGCAATCCTACCTTTCCCGGTCATCCTTAATATTCAAGTTTCAATTTTTGGCCCCATCTATTAAAACTTTCTCAGCATTTTTCCTTTTCTCAACCAAACACATTTTGACTCTACCCATGCCTCTAGGTAACTAGGGAGCTACTTTCAAAAGCACTGGCCAACCACCAGCAGAGCCGTGGGATAAACGCTGATGATTCAGATAACTGCAGAAAATGGGCTTCACCTTCCTGTGACTTTCTCAAAACCAGGGAAAGAAACATATATATCTGTACTATTGATGTTATTTGTGTGCTTGATTTGTATTGCACATAAATTTCTCTTTTCCACTAGTTTCTCATAAATATTAAAATATCAGAGAGTACTGATTTTCTTCTAAGTTTTCAAAATGATTATGATATTTTCACTCTATTTAATAGAAAAATAAAACCAAGCTGCCAAATTTATGAGTTAGGTAATAAAAAACTTTATTTCAATAAAACATAGAAATATTTTAATTTATAAATTCCAATGAATCATTATGAAGTAAAAATCCACAATTACACATTCATAAAAATTCCACACGTCACCCTCAGACTAATCAGTTTCTGTTTCAAAGTTTCAAAGATTTACAGATGTCCAAGTATGTAGTTTTTCTTCAGTGTGCTACAGAGTTTAGAGGTTCTGCTTGAGTATTCCCCAAATGAGGCCAGAATCTGTCTCTTCATCAGTTTCTCCAATGAACTGCAACATTGTCACCACTTAAATGTGTAGTCCCAGTACTGCTTGCTCTACTCCCTGTGAAGAGCTGAATACCCTCGTTCATGGCTTTCATCCAAAAATCACATCAATGGTCTGGCCAAAACCCAATCATTCCCCATCAGAAGTGATAACAGCAGCAGTTTGGTTGATGTAGTTCTCCAGGGCGGATGTCATGCTGCTCTGCCTGGCAATTCCTAGAATTCTTTCTGTACCCCAGTTCTTCTTAGTAAGGATAAATGGAGAGAATTCATTATTTTAATAATGACCATTATTAATACGTAAATCATAGCAAACATATTAAATATATTTTGTTACATATAAATATATAATAATACAAGTTATAAATTAAATTTATCTTAATAAATAAAAATAATTTTAATATAAATCAAATGATTATAAAATATAATAGCTATCATCACTCTCTACTAAGTTCTTGTTAAGTGTGAAAATCACACGGAATACATGGAATTATCAGTGCAGTTTTATAAACCAGGTATTTTGTCCTAAGGCTAGCCTCTGTCAGTGGCACTGGCAAAAAGCAAATGTATTAGTGTTTAGTTGAAAGATATTGGAAATACGAGTATGTGGATTCAGGGCCAATGACAGTGTTTCTCTTTTCCCTGTTACTCTACTCGAATGGCATTCTAATTCTGTCATTTGACATGTGTTTGTTGAACAAATGAAGTGTTCCAGGCACAGATCTAGATGCTCTAGATGCTGTGGATACAGCAGTGACGAAAACAGAGACAAGTCCCAGCTCACATGGAGTTTATGCTCTGCCAGTGAGGGAAAGGCCACCCACAGAGTAGATGGGCAGCCGTGTAGAATGTCAGACGGTGGCCAGTACTAGTAAGTAAACAAAGCAAAGAAGGAAGATAAACAGTGCTGCTCAGTGTGGACTGGAACAGGGTTACCCTTTTAAATAGGTGGAGCAGCAAAGCCCTCACTGAGAAAAGGGAATTTCAGCAAGTGTGTACCCATCTCTAACATGACCATGCAAGGAACGTGAACATGAGACTTCTAGAAAGAAATATAGGAATGACAGAAAGGATGGATCCTAAGAAGAGTCATATACTAAAGTAAATTGTTCTTTCAGTATGTTAAATAAAGGCAGGAGCAAGATTAGCCAAATGACCAATACAGTATATTTTTGCGGTAGCAAAGAAGATGAAACATAACACGGGCCATGGGAAATGGGTGGATACAAGTAATGAAGTAACTGTATGGAATATATATAATATATATTTAGATGTGTTTATAAATATATATTTATATTTGTTTATAAATATATATATATATATTTCCCGAATCCTCATTCCAGACCCTGTAATGCAATACATTGTGGAGAAATGCCCACTTACTTGCCAATTTGAGGGAATCATATTCCCCGTTCTTAACTAAAATATTGGGGACTCATGTTTATGATACCTAAAAAGGAGCTCCAAATTGCAGTGGTAATTTGTAAATAGCATCCCACCTGCTACTTTCCTTTTATGAGTGTACGTATGTATGCATTTATGCATATAAGTCCACAGAAATACAGTTCTGGAACTTGTTAAAAAAGAGGAAGTTCACTTATAACCAAATGTAAATTCTACATTAGTACTTGCAATACCAAGTAAAAGTCAGTCAGAATATAGAACTCTGTTAATGCTGTGGAAAGTACAGGAAAAAAGTAATGTAATCCAATTAAATCTTTAATAATAGTGAAGAAAATCTATTTAGAAAATGAATACTCAGTTCTAGCAACTAATGTGATTGTGGGGCCATGACAAACTGGTTCACATTCGTGCATCTCAAGATGCTGGAATGAAAGAACTGAGTCAGAGTCCTGCCTGGAAACTGTTGAACTAAAATGGAATTACCAATGATGATCTCCTTCTACAGACAAATTTTAATTTGGTTATTAGTAGGAATTAGAATTTGTAAGGGAGCAAAGAAAGAACGAAGAGAAATTCTCAACGGGAAATCAGAGAAGGTAAAACAAGGGTCTAGGAAGAGGGAAAATAAGCACATACAATAGGTACTAGATCTTGAGAAATTATCTTTTAAAATAATAAATTTTGATTTATTTAAAATCCTAATGCTATTTTCTAGATGATTTAGATTACCTAGATTATTTATTCACCAGGCGATGTGCATTTTTCCATCTTTAAAGAGTGTTTGCATGAATGTTTGTATGTGTGTGTGCCCTATGCACAATCTCCAGTATTTTTGTTTGAACAAATATTAAAATGAAATGAGCTATTTTAGGAGGTTGGCAGAGAAACAAACCCCACTGTAGATATTCCAAAGAAAGATGTACTTCATAGCCATTTTTCAATACTCATTACAACTAAATATACAGAATAACAAGGCACTTTAATCACAAATTTCAAAGATAATTTTGAAATAATTTTATTTCTATATGAATATTCCACAATGCAAAGTTGCTTTAGAAAAGGTGATCGTGTTTTTTTTTTTTTATTTTTAGGTTACAGACATTGCCATATATATGCATACTAGACAATATTGTGATTTTTTTTCCCTCAATCATTTCTCAACAAGTGAAAACTACTTGAGGCATAAAGCATTCCATAAAATTGACTGCATTTCTCAGGTGTTTAAAATAATTTTGTTTTATTTTTATTACTCCATATATTTTTATATCATTTAAGAAGTTTACTGGAATTCATTGATGCTTTGAAGCTGTTTAAATCTTAAACTTGTACTTATCCAGTTTTTGTAAAATGGTTTGCAACTATCTTCTGAGTGGAAGATTGTTATCTATATATTTTTATTTTCATTTCCTACTGGCACATTACTATAGAATATTTAGCTGGAAGAATATTTTGAGTTACTTATGTGTGCAGTCTATTTGGAAGTGTGGTAAAAGGTTTTTACAGAATCTACTTATGCTAGAAGGTAAATTTCTTTACTACCTAATATATACAATAATTAAAGCAGGGAAACAAAAAGTTGCAAAATGAATTTAAAAAACTTTTTTTTTTTTACAACTTTTCTACTAAATTCATCATTGATATATCCTCCAGGACACACCTGTCCCCATACGTATAATTGGGGCATTAGTTTAAGTAATATTTGACTGTGAGATAGAAGTAAAAAAAAAAAAAAACTGAAGTGATAACACACAAAAAATCTTGAAGCAGAATACCATTTTGTTCTCTTGGAGGGGAAATGTCACCTTGCCAGGTCTTGTTGTGTGTTTCGTTGCTGCTTCTCTGATCTCCTATAGCCTTTTATTCTACCACAAAGAATCACACCCTAAAGCAGTATAGTAATTATATATCTTCTCTTACTCTTCTGACCAAGAATTTGAGCTTTTTAACTACATTATTAACCAGAAGATATATCATATGTCGTTTCTAAGTATACTTTTCTATGTTCCGTGAGACAGTAGTATAATTTTTTTCCAACTTTTCTGTTTCTACCATAGCACTAGTGAGCGACTTTGAATTGAAATAAATACATGTTTAAATATACATTTAAAATAATTCATTCTCTCTCTTTTTCTTTCTCTATTTCCACTGTCCTTTCCACTCTCTCTCTCTTCCAGATTATTAGTTTATTAAATGTCTTCACACCCCAGAAAACGCTGGAGGAGTTCCAAGATGTGTAAGTAACAAAACTTATGAAGGAAGGAAGAGCACAGCACTCATATAGCTCAAGGGAAAATGACATGCACACACACACAAATAGATAAAATCCCTTGTAGAGGTAGGTAAGAGTAGAGTAGGTAAGAGTTGGGATCCAATGACAGGGACCCTGTCATAAATGGAGCAGATTCTGCTTATGCTGTTACTTCCTATTAATAGAAAGACATGTCTGCCTCATTCTGGCCTATGGTTCTGTGTACATCATTATTCCATGCTCTTGGTTCAATCAGGGAAAGCTTATTTATTTATTATCATTAATTGATTCCATGAGCTTTCTAGAACGAGTCAATTCATCTTGAGAAATAGCAACAAAAGGGACATGATCACATTATCTTTACTCTTTATTTCTATTTTTGTGGTTCCTTTGATTCTGCACAAAAACAGTCTACCTAGAAGTATAGTAATGATAAGCAGAGGAGAAGAAGTGATTCCCTTCCACATTATCTTCTTTAGCACAGATATGTTGAATTTAATGGAGAAATGGTTCTGAATTTTTTTCCTGCCTGTAATCACAATACTCAGGTGTTGAGGGTACACAGGGAAGAGTGAGAGCAAGATGAAGGTAAAAAATATATGAGCATGAACCACACACTAATAAATGCTGCTTCTATTAGCAACCTGGTGGTATAGTACTGTAGCTAACACACATGCAATACTTGTAAATTTTTCATATTCTTGCTTCAGTCAAAGGCAGAGCTGGGAAGTTGAGAAGACTTACAAAGTTAGGAGAGGATTATGATTAAATTGAAGGACTTCATAGATCTCGTGACCCGGAACTAACATTGTGGATTTACCTTCTAGTTACTTAGTAATGGAACTGATGGATGCCAACTTATGTCAGGTGATTCAGATGGAATTAGACCATGAGCGAATGTCTTACCTGCTATACCAAATGTTGTGTGGCATTAAGCACCTCCACTCTGCTGGAATTATACACAGGGTAAGAACACCTGCGCTAGAATTATAATTAAGATGCTTTCAGAGAAGAGAAAGAGCAACTGTAGAGTATTTTCTTTATGCTTGGGTCTTGATCAAATATAATAACACTTCCCTATTTCTTTGATGATAGGATTAGCATATAGTTCACTAGTGTATAAAAGGAAATTCTATCTATGCTGTAGTTGATCTTGTTTAATGTTATGTTTCAGCTCATTGAGAGGTAGCTTCTGAGAAGCCTCATGCTTTGTGCCTCCTTGATAGGCAGAGGTTATGCACCGTGTTGGAACGAGACAATTCATTTCCATTTCCATAGACAGCTGCCTTAATCTGTTCTTCTGTCAGACCTAGAAAATGAAATATAAGTGAAAGATTTACATTTCTCTAAAGAGAAACCTAACAGATGACAATAAATGATATATGTTTTCTATTTTTATATATGGTTTTATATATTTTAAATGTTTTTCTATTGTTTTCTTTCCCCAAAATGAGCCTAAATTGTAAAAATGGTAATACAGTTCTCTTCTGGGTTTAAACAACTTTCTGGGAATGTTTAAAGAAATCCAAAAACTAATTGTTCCCTTCTTTGAAGCAGTAATCAGTTGCCTTATATAGGAATTTGCAGGCAAGGGGGACCCCATCACTGCTATTGCAAGGCCGTTTTCTTAACTGAGTTGGTGGAAATCACGTGTTCCATTTGACACTGGCTTTTAATTTCTTCCCTGTTCCTACTGGCAGGATCTAAAACCAAGTAACATTGTAGTGAAATCTGATTGCACATTGAAAATCCTGGACTTTGGACTGGCCAGGACAGCAGGCACGAGCTTCATGATGACTCCGTATGTGGTGACACGTTATTACAGAGCCCCTGAAGTCATCTTGGGAATGGGCTACAAGGAGAACGGTAGGGACGCTTCTGCGCGGCAGCATCACGTACCGTGTATAACATGGGTACACGTTTTAGATAGCCAAGAGGCATGTTCTCTTTAATGCATATCATGTTTTGTTTTGTTTTTTTTAAATAGGGCTGCCAGCTTTCATATTCAGAGTTTTTTTAAATACTACTGGTAAGAATCACTCATTAAAAATGTGAAGAGTGTTTCTCAGAAGTAAGCTTTGCTAGAAGAGCACTAAAATGCTAAAAGCTAAAAAGAATCATAAATGGAGTCTGATTAAACAGTCAAGTGGATACTGATTAGCACACTTGCTGCAGATATGGAGAAAAATTGCTATTTGGGTCGCAGCTCAGCTCAGAGTGCATGTGAAAACAGGAAGAAATCTATCTATTGCATTTAACCCTTGGGCTTTATGTCATATCTTAGATTGATGACTCTAGTCATAGGGAAAGAGAAGTAAAAAGATGCCACAAATCCTTGGAGTGAGAACCTTCATAAACACTAAATAAATAGTCAATTTGAAATAATCTAAATTATTTGAGTTGAATAAGAATTTCTTTAATACTTTAAGCTGCTCTGTAAGTAATCTTTAGAGTAGCAATTGCCACGTAAATCTTTACCAATTCCAAAAACCATAAGAGCAGAAAATATTAAATTTGATACTACTGCTTTTATAAGGAAAATCTAATATCTGTGAACACTTTAAAAGAAAGGGTATAGAAAGAATCTTCAAAATGTATTACAATTGGATTTTATTGATTAAAATGAAGGATTTATTAAACACCTGTTAGAAAACATTGCAATATGTTATTTTGATGAGACTATTTCTTGTAAGTAATAAGCTACATTAAAAAACATATCCAATATACTTAGGAATTAAAATGGTTTTAAATTAGGATTATATATATAGATACTCAAAGTAGCTTTCATACTTATTTTTATATTCTATTCTATTTAGTTCCTAGCAGGATATTTTTACTGTTTTTTCAGGATATTTTTATAAATTCTATAAAAATAATCAGAATATTTTTATGTACAGATGCTACCGGGAGGGTATTTTATGAAACTTCCCTGGCCACTGAAGTTTACAAAAACTTCTTTGTGTACTTCCAGATTAGAAGACAGACGATACTTTTGTTCATTTGAACAGAGGAAGGGAAAAATTCAGCTCTTAAGGTTAGGTTCACCTTGGTGGGCAGGGTCAAAGTTCTGGTACCTTTTGACTCAGAAGAGATGTATCAAGTCCTCCTCCCAAGCCTTCCTCCCACATCTGATTTATCCAGGAAAGAAGATATTTATACATATTCTCCACAAGTTATTTTTAAAAAGTCAAAGGGAAAACAAAGAAAAGTCAAGAATCACGAATGTACAGGGGACTGGAGGGGAGGCGTCTGAATTTGCCTATTTTGGCTTTGGTATTAAAAATCCTCCCTCCTTCCCCCAGTAGAAGGAGTTGCAAGTTGCTGTCTTAGTGTTTTGGCTTTTCCACTCCACGTCTGGGGAGAAGGCATGCCTAGCGCCCTTGTGCTGGCCTCCCGGCAGCAGGAGGGAGGTTATCATGCAGAAAAACCTGCTTGCTCCCGCGTCAGGCATGCCCCGCTGTCCTGTGCACCTAACCCTGCCTTCCTTCCCCACGGAGCAGTTCAGCCTAATGTTTCTGTCCCAAAGTTCCCATTGTCCTTAATAAAAAGCAAGTCAGAAGGGGGTAAAGGTTGGTAGAAGGTAAAGCATGTTTGCCTAACGAGTATGACAGTTTGGAAATAAATATATGTCTATAACAATTTTTAACACCTTTAATACTTTTTTTCACTTTACTTCCAGATGACATCTTTATGCGTGTGCTAATTCATCATATATCTTTTTTTCTTGAAATATTTCGAATAGAAACTAAAACTGATGTTTATTTACAAAGATAACTTCTGAAGGAAAATACCAATACCCCAAATACCAGGGATTCTACTTTTTCTGCCTGCAAACTCTAGTCTCAGTTATTTCCTAGTTTTTTGGATTCGGTTCAATGCACCTTATTTTGGACCCATAAACAAACAAACAAATAAATTAGGTGGTCTCTTGTTGCCCTATTATGTGTAAATGAATAGAATAGAAATGGAAACAGGCAGCCCTGTGGGTTAATATTGTTTTTTTTTCTGCATCAAGCAAATGGCATCAAAAACTCCTCATTCGCCTGCCACAAGATATTTCGGTTTAGCTACTGCTTTTCCATGTCCCCAATGTCACCACTTTGTGGCACTACTGAGGCAGTCTAAGGCACCCATAAAGCAATTTTTTACATGTTAATTTGAATTCTCATACTAGACACTGACTGTTAATGTAATAGTGTAGTGCTGGTTTTAATTTGTTTTTTGGCCAACTTTTGGTGGGAGGTGAAAAATTGTACCTTCTAATAAAACTGTTCTTTTTCTTCCTCCTTCAGAAGTCAATTATCTTAGTTAACTTTACTTTCCTCCCTTTTCTTCACTACCCTCTCTCTCCTGTTCTAGTGGATATATGGTCTGTGGGATGCATTATGGGAGAAATGGTTCGCCACAAAATCCTCTTTCCAGGAAGGGACTGTATCCTTGTGCCTTTTGCTACAGCTTTACCTGTTTTGTTCTCTCTCCCTTTAAACACATAATGATTTTACCAGGAGAGTAAAGATAGAAGCAAAGAGTTGGGTAAGTGGTGTCATTATAATAAAAAAAAGTGATGATTTCTATAATCTGACCAGTACTGCAAATTATCTACCACAATGATTTCTTTTAATTAAATTTTCAATGGGCTTTTTTCTTCTTAAACTATTTTCTTGCCTGTAACTCAAAATAGCAATGCTGTCTTTTCCCTAAAAACAGAGGCCACTAGACTCCAAATCGGTAAAATACATTTATTTTTATAACTAGCAAAAGAAGTCACTATTTGCAAGTCGTTTTCCATCTCCATTCTAAAACTATTTTATGTTTCTGCAACATTGAGGCACTCTCCTTGTTGACATCCTAAGCTTCTATCTGTGGCTTCACTGATTTAAATTACACTTGACACAATATCGAATCTTTAATAGGCCATGCAGCATATCCTCCTCAAATAATTGTAATTATTCAAATTGCCGGAGGTCAGGTGAGTTTAGGGTTGTCTCACTGGATTTGGAGATGTGACATAAATGTAGAAGCTTGTTTTCCCAACCAAATTTAGAATTTTATAAAGCAGTGTTGATTTGAGTTCTACCACTGAGTCCTGTCATAAATTCCATCAGCAGTTTCTTGGAGAGCCATCCATGATTTAGAATTAATAAATGAGCTGGTATATTTCTTATATGGCCAAAAGTTCACTCTCTAATAAAGGCACACATTTGG